TATGATGCCACGCGTCTCGCTGGTGGCTGTTCCCAGCCGACGCCTCTCCCGCTCGCTATAGAGCAAGTGCACCCTTGCCAAGCCACAGCACGTGCGCATCTCAGTCACGTGTCAACCGCCGACCCTCGATCTACTCCGAACCGTCCCTAACGAGCTCTCTTGATCTTCGAAGGCGCTTGGTTCCGGCATTCTGGACAGAGCCAATCCCCCAATGGCTCTTCCTTGATGCCCACACACTCCCAGTGGAACCACTGATACCGACAATTGTCGTTATCGCAGGCCACCATATCGCCGAAGCTAACGCGCTGGCATGTGCAGTACTTGGTGTCATCCGATTCATCTTCCTCTGCATCGCCGCCCCCCATGCCTGACATATCTTCGTCTTCGGTGCCCGCTTCACTTGCCACGCTCTCATCGTCCGCCGTCGTCGATGGCGATGCTCGTGACCCGCCCTTGCGGCGTTTCTTGTTGACCCCAGACTTGGCGGTAAGGGCCGCCTTGCGCAGCGGTTGCTGTGGTTTCGCCTTTTTCACCGTGAGTGCATTCTTCTGCGGCCGGGGTCCTACGCTGCCTGCGCGCGATCCAGGTGTGGACGGTTTCGGGGTCCCGGGCCCTATAGACCCTTGCCGGCCCAGGTTTGAAGATGCTGCAGGGAGAGGGCCAATGCTTCCTGTCGGTCGGCGACGCTTGCTGTCGCTTCCTGCCGAGAGTTCACGCTCCTGTCGCGCGTTCGCCTGTATGGCACTCTGCTGGTTTGTGAGTCGTTGCTGATTTAGCAGCGCCTGTGTTTGCATGCTCTGCAGTGATGGATTCATCCTGGAGTTTAGGCCTACGTTCGTCGCATTAGTAAGTCGTGCGATAGCAGCTGCCTGGGCAAGGTTTGGAGCACCACCGCCGTTGCCGGACACAGGAAGCAGCGGTGTGTTGGACCCTGTATTTGACTGCGACGCTGGTGGCACGAGGTTACCTGGAGAGTTCCTCAAAAGTGATGGCATCTCCGGGTCAGTAGGTATTGAACCATCGTTTTGCAGGTCTCGTAATTTGATATCGAGTCGCTTTACGTGACGGTCGAGCTGGTATTGTAAGTAGATGTAACAAAACTCGTTACGAATGACAAACCAGCGCAGCAGCCTTGTCGACAAGCCCTATCTTCTCCTCTTGCAGGATCTGTGCCTTCTCATAGTTTGCCATGATGGTTTTCGAATATCCAGCCTCTTTTGGGTTCTCGACTAGGCTGCCATTGAGTTTGATGAATTTTTGTATGCTGCCGTCGCGTTGCTGTATGCCAGACTTCAGTTCTTGGATTTGGTTGTCCTTGGCCTGCACTTCTTCGTAGAGATGCGTAATCTCTGCTGGAAGGTTTGCAACTGCTACTTGTTAGTTGCGAAGTCGCGCACAATGCTCTGATCAAAGTTACCATCATGTATGAACTGCTCGAGCACTGTTGCCGCATCCTCTGCGATAGCCATGTTGAGATTTCAGGTAGGCTGGATGGCCTGGCGTATCGACGCGTGTGGCGATGTTCGTGACGAGATATGCCGCGCGCAGCCAGGACGCGGGTGATAGCAAGCTCGGAACGGCGGACAGAAAGATCAAGCGCTGTATTCTCCGTTGCACCTGCGAGTTTGATGGAAATCGATGAGCGCTGATGGCTTTACAAGTGAAGGAGCCGTGTCGCAATGAAGGAAATGACGAAGCGCAAAAACCTTTCCGCAGACTCCTACTTTGGTCGCACTCAAATCCCAGTTCTTAACCTCTTCTCGCGTCTCGACCGGATTATATCGTGAGTTTAGCTGTTGCGACAGACTATCGGAGTCGTGTTGTAACGCGTCGGGCATGCAGGAACAGCCGCTGACAAAGAGGCTAGATTACGTGTTCGGCAAGATGCAGCGCTATCACACCCAATCAGACGACGGCAGCGAATACGAGCCCGTCTCATCTACCACGAACGAGCCTGGTTCCGACGACGCTGACAACTCCAGCCGAGGGGACGACTTAACTGAAGACCAGGGCCACCTGCCATATAGCCACGAGTTCACTGGTACGAGTGTGGACCCGAAGCTCGCTACACTTCTCAACGGACCACAGTGGCAGAAGCCAAATCCGTACACACGTCGCACAGCTAGAGTAAACTACAGCCTTAAGAAGGAGCCCTCGCAATCTGCCCAGAAACGGCCTCCACAAAAACCAAAGGTACGCGTGCAGTGTCGTATCCAGAGACCCCCAGCACACTTTCGCTACGGAACATCGTGTTCGCCAGTTTCGAGACCCGTCCAAGCTCCAGTGTTCTCGCAGATATACTAACAAGCGCAGTACCTTGCGGCAGAGGACAATCGAGCTCCGCCCCCCGCACCTGACCCTGATACTTTAGCACGCTGGAACAACAGCCGGGAAGAGGAACTGAGACCCCACTCCTTTATCAATACTTTCGTTAGCACCAAAGACGAGGTAAATCGCTGGATCTACGAAGGTGCGCCAAAGACACGCTCCATTAGCGAGGACTTTCTGGAGGGATCTCACGACTCTTCACACATCTTTCGCGATATGCGGGTCACCGACTATGCGCCGCCCAGCGGTCCCAGCAACATCGTGCAGGAGTACCTCTCTCCCGAAGATCCTTGGGTCGCCAACTACCAGGATTTCAAGGTGCTCACTGATGCCGAGAAAAGAGAAGTAATTGCTCGTGAAGCCGAGGAACATGGCCTTGAAAGACCGAAGGGCTGGAACGTGTCCTTCCACTACAACCCACACGTCGAGTACCATCACTTTGGCAGCTCACATCCAATGAAGCCATGGCGTTTGACGCTGACGAAACAACTTGTTCTTGCGTATGGTCTAGAGTATACTATGGACTTATTCGAACCGAAACCAGCGAGCAAGGATGATCTTGCTATATTCCATGACCGCGAATATCTAGACTATCTCAGCATGATCACACCTCAAAACGCGCAGCCTGAAGATCCACAGTACATAACATATGGCTTCGGTGGTGAATCAAACGACTGTCCGGTGTTCGATGGACTTTGGAACTACGTATCGCTCTACACTGGAGCTACGATGAGCGCCGCATACAACCTTATCAACAATCAATCCAATATCGCCATTAATTGGTCCGGAGGTTTACATCATGCGAAGAAGAATCTCGCTTCTGGGTTTTGCTACGTCAACGACATCGTCATTGCGATACAAACGCTTCTTTCGCGGAATCAACGCGTCCTATACATTGATATTGACGTTCATCACGGCGACGGTGTCGAGCAAGCGTTTGAGTCTACAGATCGTGTCTTCACACTCTCGTACCACAAATACGGCATTGACAAACACGGCTACCCATTCTTCCCAGGTACGGGAAACATTGACGAGACCGGTCCTATAGACCCCAGGAATCCCGGCAAAGCTCACAGTCTGAATATCCCCATCGATGATGGCATCGACGATGATCAGTACAAATGGCTGTTCAAGACAGTCACAGGCGCCGTGATTGACAAGTATAATCCACAAGCTATTGTTCTCCAGTCGGGAGCCGACTCTCTTGGTGGCGACCGGCTCGGTCGCTTCAATCTCAACATCAAAGCGCATGGCTACTGTGTCGAGACGGTAAAAGCCTACGGTCGCCCTCTACTTATCATCGGCGGTGGTGGCTATACACCTCGCAATGTCGCACGAACATGGTGCCACGAAACTTCCGTTTGTGTAGGCGCGACACTCCACAACGAGCTACCCGCCCATGTTCCCTACCTCCAAGCTTTCAAAGGAGCTGAGAACGGCGATGGTGTTCTATACCCTGATCTGCACAACACAAAGCGACACGACAACCTGAACTCGCAGGCCAAGCTGCACAAGCTAGTCGAGCAAGCGCTAGAAAACTTGAGATACTTGGAGGGCGCACCTAGTGTGGTGGTGGATACTAAAGGCATACCCTTGGAAGAGCTCATGCGTGTCAGAGAAGCGATCGATCGGGAGATGGAGGAAGAGGCAGAGGAAAAGGCGCGTCTCTCCGTCGAGAACAGTAGGCGCAAGAAGGAGAAGAATATCGGAGGCCGCGGTGAGCGGAGGTAGGGCTGGATACTTTCGCTGTGCTAGAATGGGATGCAACCTTTTGATCACGGCCTATCTACAAGGCGTTTAGGAAAATATTGGAGTCGAGGGAGGATACGCTTTTCGCGATACCCATCACGAGCACTTGGATAATCTATGCTAGGCAACACTCTGTACGGATATGCCATGTCTGTTCTCGGAAAAGTTCTTGGACGCATGCAAGTCGGATTAAGGCGGACTTGCGGAGATGATTGGTAGCTCCGACTTTTTGACCGATTCCTCGCAGTCCACGGGACGCGGACAGACTTACATTGGTAGCACATCGTGAACCCTGATCCTGTTCCAAATTACCTTGTGACGTGTTGTTTCGACTTTTCTGCTTGATGCATTGGCAGGTCTCCGTGGGCCCCGACATAGTTCTACGGTGATGTGTCGATTGAGTTCCAACTTGGACTAAGTCGCGAACGATGTGCTGCACACGGGTGGCCTGACTGGAATGACTCAGAGAGCACTTTAGGCATATGGGGTTTGTAGTAATCTGACTGCAACGGGCCGCCTGACAGGACTGCTGTTGGTTATCAGATGCTCAGTCCCAGCCGTGAATGACGTTGCGTCGGTTTTAGTCGGGCGTAAGGCATAATGTGCGCTGCTTCATCCGCAGGTTTGCAAGTCAACCAATCGACTTTCCGTCTCTTTCCCAATCTTTCATGGTCGACCAGCCTGATCTGCTCGGGCGTTGATGCGCCATAGTTTGATTCGCCAGAGACTGCATGCCCCACCGGGAATGTTCCGCTTCGTACTGGGTTCGTAAACGGTGGTCGGAGAGTGAAGTTGGGTCAGCACCGACAATCGACCAGGGTCTCGCCGCAAGAGTCAAGCCACACGGAGGTGCGAGTGTCAAGAGTGAGAAGACGTCTGGGTGAGAGAGGAGACTATTCCCAGTGTCATCCACCTCTCGTACAATGTCGGACAATACGCAGCAGAGCCAGAGTCCGCCCAATGGCACACACAGGCCAAGCGGCAGCATCAGCGGCCCCTCACCCGGTGGTGGTGCTGGGCCGACGCCAAACCCCCGGTCGTGCGTAACCTGCCGCAGGCGCAAAGTCAAATGCGACAAAAAGAACCCGTGTTCCAACTGTCTACGCGCCAAAATCGACTGCATCTTCCCCGGACCTGGACGTGCGCCGCGCAAGAGCAGGAAACCACCAGATGCCGAGTTGCTGGAGAGGCTGCGGCGCTTGGAGGGCGTCGTCACCAGCCTGAATGCCCAGGTGGAGGGCCACGAGCAGGAAGCCGCCGACCGTGAGAAGGAGCGACACAGCAGCACGAGCGAAGAGGGATGCCCCAACGGGAACAGCGGCGTAAAGTGGCCTGCCAAACAGCATGGCGCAAAGGTCGCGACAGACAACAGCGTCGAGGGTCTCGAGAGCCGCTTCGGACGGCTGGTGGTTGAGAATGGCCGGAGTCGCTATATCAACAACTCCTTCTGGGCTTCCCTGAACAACGAGGTATGTACGAAGAGCTGACTAAACAGTAACTACGCTGATACATCCCAGGTCGAAGATCTAAAGGCGATCCTCATAGAGGAAGAGGACGACGACGATGACGCACACTCGCCCGAATCGTCCAACATGTCCTCGCACCAGGGCTTCATCTTCAGCTACAATTCCTCCAACGTCGATATGCACGCGCTGCATCCTCCCGAGCCACAAGCGCGCCAGTTCTGGGAAGTCTACAAGGAGAACGTCGAGTCCTTAGTCAAGGTCTTGCACATTCCCACCTTCGAGCCTACCGTCTTCGACGCCTTCGCACATCCCGATAAAGTAAGCAAAGGGCTGGAAACGCTTCTGTTTGCCGTATACTACGGCGCCGTAACAAGCTCCACCACGGAAACCTGTCTGGAAAGATGGGGAGAAGACAGAGCTACACTGCTGAATCGATATCGATTCGGACTGGAACAGGCCTTGGCGAGGGCAAACTTCCTTTACTGCGACGAGGTTATTATACTGCAGTCGTTTGTCATCTTCCTCGTCTTGATGCGGCGCAACGATGACGCGCGCAAGATCTGGACGCTGACTGGTCTGGTTGTACGCATCGCGCAGACGCTCGGAATACACCGAGATGGCAGCCACTTCGGTCTACCACCATTCGAGATCGAGATGCGAAGGCGACTTTGGTGGCAGATTTGTATTCTCGACGCGCGATCCTCCGAAGACCATGGCTGCGATCCCACCATTGTGGAAGCTCAGTTTGACACCAAGATGGTAAGTCTTTTTGGCTCAAGTCCCACACATAGATGCTAATACCTCGCAGCCCCTCAATGTGAACGACACAGATATACACCCCGACATGACCGAGTTCCCCGAAGAGCGACAGGGCTTCACAGACATGACCTTCTGCCTCCTCCGGTTCGAAATCGCTCACATCATGCGCCGCATCGCATACATACCTCCGGGACCCGCTAGGTGCACCGAGTACTTCGCTGGCATGACGATCGAGCAGAAGGAGAAGTGGATAACAGAGTGCCACCAGGCCATGGAAAACAAATACCTCAAGAACTGCGACATGACTATTCCGATTTGTTGGGTTACGGCGACAATTTCCAGGCTCATCATGAGCAAGATGTGGCTGATAGTATACCATCCATATCAGCGAAAAGATGGGGGTGCGACGTTGCCTCAAGAAACCAAGGACAAGCTCTTCATTACCTCGCTTGAGAACGTGGAGTACTCCATGCTGCTCGAGACCGAAGCGCGAACTATGAAATGGGGCTGGCTCTTCCGCACGTATGTGCAATGGCACGCCATCGCCTTTCTGCTTTCTGAGCTATGCGTCCGCACCAAAGGCGAAGCCGTAGAGCGCGCATGGAGGGCCCTAGAAGCCACAGCGGGCCGTTGGTGGTTCCCGCTCAACGACGCTTCGCCACTCCGCAAAGGCCAGCAAGGAACTCTGTGGAAACCGCTCAGAAAATTGCTCACGAAAGCAAGGGCTGCGCGAGAGCGAGAGTTGGCTCTTGAGCGGGCTAGCTTGGCTATTCGAAGCGGGCAGTTTGGTAACAGCCCATTCTCGTTCCAGATGCCATCTGCGCAGAGTCAGATGAACCAGTCAGGAGTGAACACATCACAACAAGACGCCGACATTCTGGACAGCATGCTGCGACCTGCTGCACCGAAGTTGGGAGACATGCCTAGCACTGAACTTGGAAGTTGGCCGAACAGCCCTACGCAAGCCAAATCGCGGAACAGCCCGCTGCAGAATGGAGACGGCATGAGTGGGCAACGACAATTACCGAATGGACCAGCAAACGGCACACGAGGTCACAGCAATAGCAGCCCTGGAAAGGAGTTCGGCGACTTGTTTGAATTCGGCCTTGACAATGTTATCAACGACGTCATGGGTGCCGGCGGAGTCTACGACGGCACAACCGTAGACTTTCCAAACTTTGCTGACCCGTCAACGACTTCGCAACCTCCTCGCTCGAACACCACCACTTCAATACATCCATACGGCACACATGGCGCGCGTCCACCAACAGCGGCGAATGGCTATCCTACGTTTGGCGACGGCATGCTTCCAACCACCAACATGGATTTCAGCATCGACAACACCGGCAACACTGCTTTGAATGGCATGCTCATGGGCGGCAACGGGCAGCAGCAGCAGCAGGTTGACGACGCCGTTATGATGGACAACGGTGACATGGACTGGACGCTCTGGGACGACATGGTTACTCAATATGGTCATGGAGGCAACCCGTCGAATCCGGCTAGTACTGCTTTAGTAAACTGGTTCTGAGGTAGTGTTTCAAACAGTAATGTGTTCCACGAAGCTATGACGGGCGTAGATATCGGCGTTTAATAGGGAAAGAGCTCTACTCCGTCCTACATGAGCAAGCGAACGAACAGGGCGGTTTGTCATACCTTGTACTAGATGTGTATTTCCTAAGCACCTTTCCTTCGCCGTATACAGCGAATAGAAGATCCAGGAACTACTTCCGCATTGCAACTATACCTTGTGCTCGATAAACTCGAAATGTATTTTTAACCATTCCACCAACCAACTACATTTCCTTGATTCTCAGATAGCATGGTGGGATAAAGCTAACTAGTACAACACCCTGATGTCAGCATATACACACCGGTGATGCTGGTCGGTAAACACGTAAGAATGCGACAGGGATAAGGCGCATAGATATACCACGTGGAGGCTCTGATTGCGTAGTGCAGCTCTTGGTATCGATAACCTTATCTTCACCGCTTGCCAGCGGCTTGTTGCCCCACGTCCTCTTTCATGCACGCCACGTTACGTGCGCTATATGTGCTTGTGTAATACAACATCATTTCGTTTATGAAGTTTTCTATTGTTGAAAACATCACAGCGTCTTTGAAAACTCTGCCTGTCGCTTCTTCATCTGGTTTGCAGTGGACACTAGGAGACCTGCGAGTAAGCAGTCGGAAAGAAAGAGATATAGAAGGCTGCGATATTAAGCAAGTGTACCCGAGTGTCTGGTTCTCGGGTTTACATCACTTTTAGGGTCTTGAGAGCGACGGGAAACTGCTTCGAAGGCCAGCGAACTCGGCGGCAGCTTCATCTCACTCTCTGCACTTCGGCCCTCCATATAAGTTTGCTTTCATACTGTCTTTCTACTCGCATATTCATCGCATCTGAGCATTTATACATTCGACGATAAATCATGTCATCTGTAACGCCAACACCCCAAGACTCTGGGCTGCCTGCGCCTGCAACGCCATACGAAACCTCGCCTTTAACATCAAACGCTTCATCTGCGTCAAAGCCAATCATACTCCATCTCGGCGACGATATCCGGTGGAACCATGACTTGTACGCGGAGCTGAACAACAGATTCAACATCATAAGAACGTACTCAATGGGTAGAGAGGAATTCAAAGAAGCGCTCAAAGAGAAGAAGTGGGGTGATTTCGTAGGCATGTACCGACCCTTCTGGAACACAGGCGGCGAAATGGGGAACTGGGATGAAGAACTCATGTAAGTCCACCACCATCCCCTCCCCTCCTAACCCCACGCACTAACCCTCCCCCAAGCGACCTCCTCCCCTCCTCCTGCAAGATCTACGCCTCAGCCGGCGCAGGCTTCGACTGGGTAAACACGCAGTACCTCGCCTCACACGCAGGAACCATATACTGCAACAGCGCATCCGCATGCACCGAGTCCGTCGCCGACGCCGCCATCGTACTAATCCTGTCCTGCTACCGCGCAATCACCTGGTCCTTCCTCGCAGCGCGATCGTGCGACCCAGACCAATTCCGCAACGCGAACCAGAACATCGCGGCCGTGACGCATAATCCCAATGGCAGCACGCTCGGTATTGTGGGGCTGGGTCGCATCGGTATGCGTGTCGCGGAGAAAGCTAGCCGCGCTTTTGACATGAAGATTGCTTATTACGATGTTGTGAGGATGGAAGAGAGGGAGAAGGAAATTGGGGCGAGGTGGTGTGCGAGCCTGGAGGAGTTGCTGTCGACGTCGGATTGCGTGCTACTTGCTACGCCGTTCTCGGGGGATACGCTGCTTTCGACGAAGGAATTCGCGCAGTTTAAGAAGGGGGCGAGGCTTGTGAATATTGCGAGGGGGAAGTTGGTGGATGAGGACGCGCTTAATACGGCGTTGGATGATGGGATTGTTTCGGCGGCGGGGCTGGATGTTCATGCTAATGAGCCCCATGTGAATGAGAGGTTGGTGCAGAGGACTAATGTTATGGTGTTGAGTCATACGGCGGGTGCGAGTGTCGAGAGTCATGTTGGGTTTGAGAGGTTGGGTATGGAGAATTTGTTGGGGTGGTTGGAGAAGGGGGAGGAGGGGTGTTTGAGTGCTGTGAATTTGGCGTGGTTGAAGCGGGAGTGATGGATTGTAGATGTGTCTGCATTTCGTGTTCTTTTTGTCGATCTTTGATGCATATGTACTGATTTCATCTCCTGATCACATCGAATCGTCCTTGACAGTCCTCTTCACACTCTCAGACTGACATATAGCGTTTTTCTTTGCCTGTTCTTCTTCTCTTCTTTCTTCTATATACTCATGCACTCCGTTCTGAAACGCCTATTCTATCATGAAATCGGCAACGGTCTTTGACTCGGGAATGTTCGACCTTGTAGGTCTTATCGATCGATACGGTCCAGTTCAAGCGTCTATCTTGCAGCAACTCGAGATCAGGGACATCATAGCCTTGTCTCGCGTCTGTAAAAAGCTAGAGCACGTGTATGAAACCACCATCAAAACTCAATACGACATCAACAAAGCATTGAAACCGTTTTTCGCTTCACCGGTGAAGTTTCGCAACATCCAAGCAGAAACTGATGCAATCATCAGCAACACCACTGCACTCTACTTTTTCCTTCGCAGACATTGCATAAAGCAAATGATGATCTTTGTTCGAAGAGGTTCTTCAACTATGAAAATGCAAGCATACCTAGAGAAGGATGGATGGGTTGGGCCTGAGATCCCGCCACCACTCGAAGACTGCGATGAAGTACGCCATTTCTAGCTGAAACTGCTTTAAAGAAGACGCGTAGGGCTAACAAATGACAGTTATATCACTACGAGAAGCACGTCCACAACTGCAGGCAGAAAAGGAAATCACATCCGTCATGCGATTGCCCTCATTTGGCCCTCCTCAGCACCTGCGATTCCCCGCTTTGCGCTGCTTTGCTCGAGCCCTCGGTAACCGAAGCCCTCAACATCATCACTTGGTCACACGCATACTCTCTTCTACCATATCCGACCTTCATTCTTCAACGCTCGTTCCTCCTGAAAAATGCAGCGGATGGTTCATCAGATCGTCTCGCACGGCTCCTGAAGAACAAGAAGCGTATTCTCGATCTACCTACCGAGCCTCTAGACATACGCGATGCACAAAACTGTACAGTCTCAGAGCATCAGCCGGTATTGACATCGCTTGTAGATTACGGCCATCGTCGCATCGGCGATAATCACACATGGACGATAGCTTTGAACACTGACAGTATTCGCCAACCAACTAAACCCGCCATCACGACCACTCACGCAAGTTTTCGATTCCTTCCCGTGTTCTGTCCACCTCCCATCGAAGATCATCAGGGGAGACTCCGCTTTAATCCGTCTCACTACAAACTTTCCACTCATGTGGTCACAGCCCCATGTTTGAAGTATGAGTACCTTATCGATCCAACAGATCGTTCACACCCTGCTCAATTCATCGTTCCGAGGCGGTACAAAGATATTAGTTTGATGCAAATCGAAGCTCTCCAGAATGATGAGAAACCGTCAGGTTGGTACGTAGGTGACTTGGACATGAGCAGGTTAGACCATGGTTGGGATGAGTTTGGGTGCGCCGTGCCTGTGGGTTGGAAGTGGTATGATGATGAGGTTCAAGGGTTACTAAAGGCGCGCTGGGATTAGGGGAAACTGAACACCCTGGAGCCTACAGTAAAGCCAAATTCTATGACTTGATTGTTCCGTATTGGTGCAATCTGCATACCTGTGTTGAACCGCAGTATTTTTGAGTGGCTCGCCAATTGTGGGTCTTGTCAGGATTGTGGTAGAGCTCGGTAAGGTCGCGCGCAACCACGGTGTGGTGTTCTATTTTTCGCTGCGTCATGTTCTTGTTTTCGGTGTCCATTTGTATAAATTACCGCAAAAGCCTCTTTCTCCATGCTTCCCATTCCCATCTACGCTCAAAAAAAAGACCACACTCTCATCAACATCGACATCACCTCACTAAACCAACGAGAGCCACCGTAGTCTACTTCAAACCGATCTCGCCAGCGCCCAATCATAAAATGCCGAGACGCTGCCAATATCTCACTAATACCGGACTGCAATGCAGCAATTCCTCGCAGGTAACAACACCCTGTCCTAGATACTACGGACGGGCACCAGGAGCCTGCTCCGAGCATCACGGCCAGCCTTGGAATTTTCGCATCATGGATCTTCCCCTCGAGCTTCGCGAGATGATCATCGGCTATCACCTTCCTGAGAATATCGGGACAAGGTGGCCGATGGCCCACCGAGACGAAGACACGGGACGCGGGAGAATCCTAAACATAATGCTCGCCGCAAAGCAAATCAGCAACGAAGTTCGCACAGTACTTTACAAACAAAAGCCATTCGTGGTAACAATCGACTCAGGCTCGATGAATATTCGACTCTGTAACCAGACCTTCAAATTGGCGCCCTGTGGAAAGATGCTCAACAACCAGAAGCACCCCCAAAATGCGCACTTCAACACCACCTTTTGTGCGATCGCCAAACAGATCAGGAAGTTCGTCGTCTTTATCAACCTCCAATCTGGGTATTTCGCGTTTAATGTAGATCGAGAGCGCTTGCGCAACGGCATTAACTTGTTTCTGGAGATGATTGCAAGAGACCCTAGCAATAAGAACATAGAACACAGAACTCTCGACGTAAGATTCCGTTCGATTTACTATGCACGGTTGGATCTACAGCGAGCCGGTTACTCTGCGGTTCTAGAAACAGCGCGAGAGATCGTGAATACATTCCAGAGTCTTGAGGACGTCTCGATAAACTTGTCTTTCGAAAGCTTTGCCGTCGAGGGATGTGGCTTCGAAGGTGGGAGGTGGGGAAGGAAGCGTGTGTCATACAACACCCGGAAAGAGCGAGGCAGGTGGGTTGTGGATGATGGAGTGGAGGAGTTCTCGGATATACAATACTTCTATCTTTTATAGAGTATCTCATTGCGTATGAATCGTATAAAATGCGGGAGGTGTAGTTAGCTCGTCGTCTTTAGGTCGCCTCTAGGTTACCGCAGTAGTGTGGGATAG